ACGTACTACTACTACGTTACGTTACGTACGTACGTACCGTTACGTACGTACGAACCGAACCGAAACGTTAACGAACGTAAACAACGAAGTACTACTACTCTCTCTCTCTCTCTCTCTCTCTCTCTCTCTCTCTCTCTCTCTCTCTTCTCTCTCTCTCTCTAACAGAAACAATGATCTCTCTCTCAAAAGAAAAAAGTCTCTCTCCCTCTCTCAAACAGAAACACCGGAGCTCTCTCTCACACCTCTCAAGAAGAGAAATACTGAACCTCTCCCTCTCTCGCTCACTCCTCTGAAGAACAAAAACACTGGAGCTCTCTCTTGCTGAACCTCTCCCTCTCTCGCTCACTCCTCTCAAGAACAAAAACACTGGAGCTCTCTCTCTCTCTCTCTCATCAAACATATACCAACGAAGTAGCTCACAGGATCACCACCTCTAAAACACCAACATAGCTATGTGACAAGCTTCATACTTGATACTTAGAGAGCTTTTCCTTAACTCGCGGGTCCAAGCCAGACATGCATTGCTCCCATCCTCCGTTCATAAGCATCTGCTTGTAACCGTGTAGGACTTGGCAGACCTCATTGTGTAAATCCTCACTCCTTATTTCCTGATAAATAAGCATGAAAGCCGACCATGATACTTTTCTCTCCAAGACAAATAAAAGAAAAAAGAGAATGATTCATTCTAAGAATCCAGCCAGTATATTCTAGTGTTGCCTAAACCTAGGCATGCGTAATGTAGAGTAAGCAAATCTTACATGCCAACTCGCAATTGCCTTGCACATCTCCACAAGAGAACTGAGGGCACCACCTGGATTCACTCTCACCTACAAAAAATGGGATTTTTCACCGATAAGAAAAGATGCAAAACATGGATTTTTATAACACAAGCAAGTGAATCAAATACCATTGCACAAAGACCGCGAAAGGCATCCTCTTTCTCAACATCATCACGAATCCTGCATTTTGATCCGAAAATTAAAGGATATTTTTAGGAGAAATAATAACATGTCAACATACAAGTGCAAAAGTACAAAGAAATGAAACGAGAGAGAGAGAGAGATAGCGAGAGAGAGAGAGAGAGAGAGCATCACTGTTTACTTCATAAGGCAAAAAGAGCTACATTGGCGATAGGGAAATTCATCACTCCAATTTCCTAGTCTGAATTACACAACACACAAGTTGCCAACATGGATGATGGGAATTCCATGGATATGTTAAGGTGATGACAACGTTCCACTGTCCCCTTCGAGGATTCATACATAATGGCAGAAACAAACGATTCCTCTGAATTTCCTTATTAACTGTCACTAAATAAACAAGCTGCGGAGATTGACCATTTCTTCTTCTTCTTCTTCTTCTTCTTCCGTTTTTTTATTTTGTGATTGGGGATGTCTCACTTAGTTCCAAGATAATGCGAATGGGACTCATAGTCAGTGTTATACTGGGGCATAAATGGTGCATGATTTAGTTATCTATTTATTTCCTTTATCCACATAAATGGTGCATGATCGAGTTATCGATTTATTCCTTTTTTCGATAAAGTTGACTTGATGACCGGTCCCAAGGAGAAAGGAGGGCTATGTAAGGTTGGCTGCCAAAGTAAAACTTTTGCCACATCTATTTCACGAATCCTAATGATGATGATGATAAAGTTGACTTGTATTAAGTGAAAACATATCTTACCATGATTTAATTATTAATATACAGTATTAACTTGAAACTGAAAATGAAAGACAAAAAAAAAAAAAGAGGTCAATAAAGGAAAGGCTGTCTGATATGGGGCAGAGAGTGGCATAAGCTTCCATTTTCTCCTGGAGGGGAGGGGCATCCAATCCTACCCAATTGCATGTTTCCTCACAACAAATCGAAATCATCACCACCAACAGAAAAGGAATAATGTAATAAAATAAGGAAAACATTTAAATAAAATTCCAACAGGACTAAATTTGAGTCACTTCTAAATATCTTTAATTTAATTATCTGGATAAAGTCAGAAATATCTTTAATTCATGTGACAGATACCATGAATTTACAACAACAAAAAGTGACTTACATGCATAATGCAGCACACCATGGTTGCATGAAATGCTCCATATGGGGAGCTACAAGATCAGGACAGACCCAGGCCAGCCGCCCCAATGTGATTGCACTATTTTCTAGGAGTGACTTGTTCAGGCCCTGTCCATCATTAAGAGGAAGTAAGATTATTGCACAGAAAAGGAGAGAAAGAGAGAGAGATTTTGTCAGATATATAACAAATCACCTCTGCATTCTTAATAATAGGAACCAGACATGAAATAACAGTCAAAACAACAGGTGCTATCTCTTGGCGAACCTGAAATATCAGAGCAGTTCAAACCATATCAGCAAATTCTACATGTCAAAAGACTCCACAAGCCTTAGGCCACATGCATATGTTTCAGCGTGCTAAAAGCACAGTGCCAAAAAAGTGTATGCATGAAAAACTATATTTATTATGCACTGAAGAATGTCAAGAATACTAGGAATATCAGTTAAGAAATCATTTATTACAGATACCAGTTGCTTAATATCCATGATTCATGAAATGGTACATTAATTGGGTATCCGAGTAAACAGGATATTTCCTTTTGTTCCCTGATTGGTAAAAATGGTTGTTGATTTAATTGTTATAACCTTCCCGACCAAGGTAAAAAAGGAAAAAGAAACTTATGAGGGAGGTTGCCCAAGTTACCTACACTTCATCGTCAATAAAAGTCAACCCAACTATCCAAAAAAAAAAAAAGTCACCCAAGAGCACTAACGTACTACTGCATACAATCCTTTTATGAACAATGACCTACTACTTGCATCTAAACTGTGCAGGTCAGGAAATGGTAATGAGTAGAAAGAGGAGGAGAAATATGCAAAAAAAAAAGAGAGAGAAATGAAGATACAAAAATAAACACCTAGATACTTGCGCAAGAGTGCACTACATTTTTAATTCTCATATGTATTCTAAGTATGGTTTGGCCCCACCCCGCTCATGAATTCATAATAAGTATTTATATACAACAAAAGCTAACCAAGCCCAACCTAATTTAGGATCAGAGATGAAGGGATATTGCCCCAGAGTCAAATTTATTCCTTATATAAATTAGTTGTGAAACCCCTAGTGCATAAGACTGAATCACAAATTTCATAAGGTGCAACATTTAGATAAAACTAATGGTTTAAAAAACGGATCGGTGACCCGGATCGGGCTTCCAAAAAACTGATCCGGATCGGCGAATCGGCGATCCGGATCGGGAATCGGGTGAATT